CTGCCTGCTCTTATGGCAAATTCAATGTTTTCACATGAAGAGGTCAATCAGGAAAGGTAAAAGTCCTCATTGTTCAGTGATGAGTGTTAGACACTGTTGCATCTAGAAATAATCAGACATTCTGGACTCTTAGTAGGAAGTCTCTCATAGTTAATTTAATCATAAATGGTTGAATAAATGTAATAAGAAATCACTGATTAAATGATGTGTAATCTTTTCAACGTTTCATTCTTGGATGGGCTCTGTCTACAATGTTTGCTTGTAGACATTTAGGATTTTGGGCAAGAGTTAGGGTGGAGGAAAACTAATTGCACTATAGAAGAGCATGCATCAACAGCACATCTGAGGGTGGGGGTCTTGGTTTTTTTCACTCCCCTGTTCCCCGATTGCCATTTAGGGATGGGGTCCGGAGGAGGGGCGGACCATCTGGTGGGAGCCTGGCCTGTGGGTGGGCTTGGGGCCTGGGTGGGTGCCGGGGACAGGGCTGGCACTCTGGCTTCCCTGGGGCCATTTCGACTCCCGAGGTATGGCTTCTGGTTTCTGTGGGTGGCCCACTGGCCGGGTGGCTGCTGGAGTCCGGTGGGTGGTCAGATATGCCCGCTTGGCCGTTGGCAGTGTGTGGGGGTGGTTGGGGATGTGGCTTCACTGCAGCGGCGGGGCTGACCAGTCTGCCTGCTGCAGTCTGGGCCGGGCCTTGGCTCTCTGCTCCTTTCCACCCTAGAGTGAATGGGTCTACCTCCTTGGTCTGGATGTGGGTTGCCCTCTGTAGGGGGCGGGTGCATGTCCTGGACCTGAGGGGTATAGAGTATGTATGGGGAGCATGATTGGAGTATTGCGTCCATCTTGTGTCTTTGAATGAGTGGGTGTGAGGATGAGGGTGGGATTGTCTGTGTCTGTGTATGAGTGGATACGTATGTATCAGGCTGAATCTTGGGTTGCCCCCTTCTCTGGTTCACTTGGGGGTCCACTGCTGGTGGTGGGCTTTGTCCCCCTGCCACTCTGCCCTCTGTGTGGGTTGTGCCTCTGCCCGCTGGTGGCACTCGGTATCTGGGGCTGGACGCTTGGGTGTGTGCTGGCTCTGCCCGGTGGCTGCCTGGTGGGGCCTGGGTCCTCTTGCCCTATCGGACAATGAGGTGTGACCTCTTTTTAACATTGCGTCCTTGGGTGGGCTCTAAAAGGACTGTTATATTCAGGGGGAACCAGCCATATTGAAGGAACAAAAGAAAAACCTTTACAGTGATTCTGTGTAAGTAAGAGGAGTTAGAGAGGTTTTACTCTAAAAGTTTATGCAGAACCAGTTTTTTTTTCTTCTGGCACTTCAGTAGAAAGCAGAACTGAATATCGGAATATTAGTATCTTAGCTTCTTCATCATCAGTGGAATTTTTAAAGAAGAAAAAGTAAGAGAATAGTGAAATGTAATAGAAAAGAGTGAAAGAGAGATTAGAAGATAAGTGTAATATATACATATATAAAGAAACCACAAGACAACCCACCCAACATCTTGGCTGTAAACCTACAGAAACACAGATAACAAAAACACAGCAACAAAAATGCATATCTATATAGTCATGATGATTATAGCCTTGCTGAAAGGTGTGTGTAAATAGATAGATAGATGATAGATGATAGATGATAGATAGATAGATGATAGATAGATAGAT